CCGTAACTATTACGTGCTTCAACTTTGGTTTTGCTTTTGTTTTCGTCATTATTCTCAAGTCCGTTTTCTTGATATTCACAAACCACGAAAACTACATTGATTTGATCAATAATAAATTAATATTCGAATAATATTCGGGTTTGTTTGTTTTCTTTTTTAACTTTTGAGCTAAAATATATTACCCTTTTTGTCCTAAAATGGACATGGTTCCAAATTAATGAAGGTCTATTCGGGGATAGTATTTCATATCAGAATTAGTATTTTTAGAACTACTCATTGAAAGGGGATATATGATATATCAATTCTGACCTTCTCGGAAACGTGCCAATGTCTAAGGAAAAGAAAGAAACAAAGTGGCGGTTGATGTTCGTTAGGGGCTATTAAGTCTATTTGCATGTGCAATTATTAGTTATAAGAATTGGTTATGCAGCAGCAAGTACATTTTCACATGAATGTACAGTTAGATTGGGTGATATTTTTGGGAACAATTTAACACTTGCTTTCTCGATGTTGGGCAGTTGGGCTATGCACTTGTGTAGAAATTGCACATAATGACTGAACAAATTTTGATGATGGAACCAACAGGATTGGCTCAAGTGGTAAGCAACTTGATGTCGTTTAAGCAAGGTCTCGAGTTCGAGTCCTTGTGGATGCAAAAAATTCTTGTTGGGAAACTCACCCACCACTGTCAAGTGTGTGACCTGGGTCGATCAACGGATTAGTCGGAGCATAACTCCGGATGCTGTGGCTGGCTACCAAAAAAAAAAATCTGATGATGGAAAGTCAACACACGGAAAGTAAGTCCATTTTAGGAAAGATTTAAATCAAGGTTAGCTTCTCTTTGTAGAGGATTTGGCCAAGGTTGGGTGGTGGACAATGAGTTTTAACTTATATCTTAGAATTTTGATTGATTCGATAAAGTGAGTTCAGACTAAAATTAAGACTCATAAAAATTGATACGATCGAGAAGTTAATTAATTTTGTATTCGTAAATGGATACGATGAAATAAAATGTGATCGATTAAAGTTGACGTGATATAGAAGTATAGTAAAACAATGATGATAAACGATCAATAGTTAAAAATATGTGAGTAGATGAATAATAAAAATTGTTGGAAATGTCTAATGCTTATTGATTGTTATAAATTGATTATATTGATAATATTAATTGAGGAGAGTTAAGGGCTTAAGGTGCTATATTAGATGAATAATGGATTTTGAGTTAAAAATTTGTATTTTAAGCGTAGTTTTGTCCAAAAAGAAGATTTGCAAGACAAAACATTTTTTTTTTTTTTTCGTTCGTAAATTCATATATGAATTACTTTATATTTCATATATGTTAGAATATGGGGTTGCAAATAGTAAAGATATTTAGATACTATGAGATCGATTCACTCATCCAGCGTTGAGCTTATTAATTATTGAAATAGACTTAATTTTTCCAAATGGGCCAAGCTTTAGCTCCTACTTGAGAGCTTAGCAAGATTGTGTATTGACTTATTTAAGAGCTCGTGAACAAGCTGTTTTGTTAGACGCTCATAAAAGCTCAAACTATATATATGATGTGCCGGAGACTTGGATCTAGGTTGAACCGACTGATGTGAAGCTTCGATCGTCCCTAAGTCACCAACTACCTGCAAAATAATTGTTGGGGATGTCCCTTGCTTGAGCACTATGACGCTCAAGTCAATACAGGGAAATATGATGGTGATAATATGCTTTATATGTAGAGAATTGAATGGAATGTATAGATAATGTAGAGTGTACTTCAAGTGTAACTCATGCCGCGATCCCTCTTACAGGGTACCTTGGTGCCCAAGATTGAGTTGTCCGACTGCCCCGGTCAGCCTGCCTGTAATCGAATTTATAAAATATGTTTATTTTTTATCTCTTCCTCTCTTCGTCACGGGCTACCCGACACAGACTACGCCCGGACACCTCCGATCAAGCTCGTTGACCACGGGTTCGAGCCCAGCTCGAATTTTAACTAGGCCAAATTAGGGTCAAGTTTTTTCAACCCTGGCTTGGAAGGCCGGGCCGGGTCAGGGCCCAACGTGTGTTTTGACCACCTTTAGCCACCAATGCATTTTTCATAGTGTTTCACGCCTTCACCCAATATGGGTTCATTCATCTTTGGACGGCCTACTTTGAACCTTCCTTTTCATAGTCCATTTGCGTTGTGCCTCCTTAAGTGTATGCTAACTGATTAAGGCCCAGTTTTACAAAGACCGGCCCATTTAATGGATGCGTTTTTTTTCCGAACCCAACCTGAAATTTTAAACCCAAACTATTATTCCTCCCTCATGGAAATGTATGCTAAACACTCTGAATCATTCTCATATACTTGTAAATATATACTGACGAATCACCTGAATAATCAATCAGTTCTTGCATTCAAAACCAAAACTGCAAGAAACTCATTCATCTGCAACCTCTCTTGCCAATATAGAATTTGATTTTCTTCGCTAGAAAGTGCACATCAAATTTTCTTAAGCTGCACTGAAGGTGCTCGACATATTGCCCATGAGAAAAGCCCTCACTGAGATAAAACCAAATGGGACGAACAAAACCGCATGTTTCGATGCATTATCACCTCACAGGAGCACACAAATGGCGCACAAGCACAAATCAACCGTCGGCAGAAAACCGAAGCAGAAAATCTACCACCGGGTGCCGGAACTCGACCGGGTCATGGAGCTCCGTAAAAAGCCCACATTAATCCTCAACCTCGTGTCCATCATCCAATCCCGCTGGAAAAACGGGTACCTTATCCTCCTCCGGGACCTGGAAAAAGAAGTTGGGTTCGTGGAGAAATGGAATTACATGGCCGCCATCGAAAAATACCCCACCATTTTCCGAGTCGTCGGTGGCCACGCCGAAAAACTTCCTCCGGCAGTTACTTTAACCGAAACGGCCAAAAAGATTGCAGCTTTAGAACCCGATGCTCGAATGCAAATGGAGCCCGTTTTAGTTAAAAACCTACAAAAGCTGTTGATGCTATCAGTCGACTGCCGGCTGCCTCTCGAAACTATCGAGCTGGTCTCGAACGAGCTGGGACTTCCTGAGGATTTCAAGAACTCGGTTATCCTAAAATACCCTCGATTTTTCAAATTGGATAAAGTAGACGAAAGGGATCATTTGTGTTTGGAGAATTGGGATTCGTCACTAGCCGTCACAGCTCGTGAGGAAAAACTGGCATCCCAAGCAGCAGTCCCATTAATCGGGCCTTCTCGTCGGGCCAATGTGCCGAGGGATGGGAACTTTTTGGGCCCGTTTGCTTTTCGCCTGAATTTCCCGACCGGTTTCAGGCCCAACACGAGTTATTTGGAGGAAGTTCGGAAGTGGCAGAAGCTGGACTTCCCATCACCATACCTAAATGCAAGGAGGTTCGAGCAAGCTGACCCGAAGGCTCGGAAAAGAGCAGTGGCCGTGCTTCACGAGCTACTGAGTTTAACCGTGGAGAAAAGGTTGACCTCCGGTCAACTGGATGCGTTTCACAAAGAGTGTCGATTGCCGGCTAGGCTTTTGCTATGTCTTATCAAGCATCACGGGATTTTTTACATCACGAATAAAGGCGTGAGGAGTAGCGTGTTCTTGAAGGAGGGTTACGAGGGGTCGGATTTGGTGGATAAGTGTCCTCTGGTGGAGTTCAGGGAGAAGTTTATGGGTTTAATGGGTAGGAAAAGTTGAATCTGCATGTGTATGAGCCTGTGATTTTCTGGTGAAGCTTGATTGTTTGAATGTGTGTGGAGTTAATCAAAGGGCAAATGACAATAAAGACTAGTAGATCGTGTTGGATTTATCACTCAGTCTCTAAAGAAAATGTGTCTGTTTTGTTTGTTTGTCTGAGTCAAAATTTATCTCTCATTGAAACTAAGGATGAAATAAAAAATTTCTTACAAAAAACACTGTTTATCTCGTATTAATTTCGGTGAAACATTTTAGGTAGAAATTTTATTTAACATTTATATAAATTAATTTCCACGGACACCCTCAAAATGGTACACACTTGGCAGTTTTTTAGTTAATATTTGTAGGATGGATTAGTCTTTTTTTTTTCCTTCCAAAGAAGGAAGTCAAGGCCTAGGGCACGACTCGACGGGAATACGACACCCCCATAAAGTTATGCTCGATTCAAGCTCCCATGCCAACAGGAGGAGCCACTACACGCTGCAATCCGATTGGATACGAGAGCGCCAAATTCGTCATGTGATCCTTCGCAAAGTTCGCTTCCCTATTCACGTGAAGGATGGATTAGTCTTTATGCAGATAAGATGTGCGTAGTTTCACTTTTAATTAACGTATGGTGATTTGTGTTTGTATAACACCATATTTTTTTTTTTTTTTGTACAGGGACCTTCCGGTTTATGGATCCACATGGGAACCGACTAATCCAGAATCAAGCTGGGTAGGACCACAAGGGCGGCAAAGCTCTCCCTCAAGAGTTTTAACACCATATTTAATTTATAAGTACAAATTACATAGTATATCATCATGCAATTAACTAGGCGTGAGTTTTTATTTAATATCTGCAAACAATCATATATAATGCAAGATAATGAATCATGGGAGATGCTACAGTCCCGTTATGGAACTATTCTGTCGAGGTTTGTAATCGTTAGATCAACTATCCCTGACAGTTACATGATGATCTAATGGTTACAAATCCCGACGGAATAGTTCCGTAACGGGACCGTAGCATTTTCCATGAATCATACACTAGCAATTTTTTTTGTTGTCTTGTTCCGAAGTTGGAGGGAAAACGAGAAGGCAACTTTCAAACTACCCGCATTATTCTAATCTACGCAGAGAAAGCTTCTCCTCCGCCATTTCCATTTTCTTCAAACCTTCCCAAAGTACACACACACACGAACACGCGGATGGGCGCATATTATTAAAGTAATCAAAAGAAGAGAATCTCAATCCCTAATTATCGGGAAAATCTCTGTATTGGAAACTCCAAAATCCCTATTCGGCGTTAGGGCATCTGCGTTCGGCGCATGGCGGATGGCGGCGGTGATGCGCACAGGGCCGGGCCGGGATTCGATCTTCCCGACGAGATACTGTCCGTGATGCCGGCGGACCCCTTCGACCAACTGGATCTGGCGCGTAGGATCACGTCCATGGCTATCGCGTCGCGGGTCACGAATCTGGAGTCGGAGGCGGGGGGCCTCCGGCAGAAGCTTCTGGAGAAGGAATTCTACGGTCGGGAGCTCGAGGACAAGGTTTCGAGGCTCGAGGAGGCGTGTCAGGACGCGGAATCGCGGCTGAAGATCGCGCAGGATGATAATGTCGGTCACTTGAATCTTAATTGTTGTTAGCAAAACTTGATCTCATTTTATTTTTTGTATTTATGTATTATTATTCTTGTTTTGGTATTTGTTAATGGTGAATTGTTGCAGATGAAACTTATGAAGGAGAGAGATTCTTTCGCGTCGATGGCAAAGAAGCTCAGCCGTGATGTAGCCAAGGTACTTGTATGGAGTACCGAGTATGGACCGGAAACTATTGAGGGCCTTTTTTGATTTTGAACCAGTTATTTCGTACAACTAGGAGTCTAGGATCATCCTATATACTTTAGCATTTAAATTTGAGGTTTAAAATTTGTCATTACATCGTCTGAAGAGGTCGCAGGGTTGAAATTTGCGGTGACAAAGTACTAATGTTTCAATGTCTTTGCGTGCACACGGACATGAGAACGACACAAATTGTGGCTAGCAATATTTTTAATTTAGTTTTCTATTGCTTTTGCTACTTGTGAGGTTGTTTATTTCAATTCCATGTTAAACTGAGACATTTTGATTCAGAGAACTTCTTGCTCAATTATTGAGTTCAAAACGCCAGCATGAGTAGTTTCTAGGTGAAGAAGTTGCGACTCGTGAGATGTCCAATGCCTTCTTGGTCTTTTGGTTTTCTTTTTCTATATGGTGCATTTGAAGTTTTTTGCCCGGTTTGTTTGGCAGTTGGAGGCTTTTAAGAGGCAATTGATGCAGTCACTAAATGATGAAAATTCTCCAGTACGGCCACTGCTCCCCAATCTGCTGCTTTCCCTTGATTGTTTGAAATATATATCTGTCCTTTGAAGCATTTCTCTGTTCTAATGAAATTTGAATTCTCTTCTGTGTCTCAAATTACGATCTAACCTTTAATATTTACAAACATCAGCAAGCAGAAACTGTGGACATTGGCATTTACGACCAATCGGCCTCCAAGGGACATTCGAAAACTGGTATTTCTTGAAAATCGCAAGTTATCATTTCGCGCAAGCAATAGTGGCTGTTTCGCCAGCCTATATCCTCGCGTGTTTTTTTTTT